ACTTGTCTCATAGGGCTTAACAAACTATTGTCCTTAAGCCTCAACAAGAAGTAGGAAAAACTACCAAAAAAACCCATATATGGGAGAATGTGAGTTTCAAAACCAAAAATAAGACAACAAAAGGAGTGCCAGAAAAGTAACTTTAATAAAAGTAGAAATGTCACATATATACGTTTTTGAGGTTTTCTCTTGCTCATCTAAGCTGTCACAGTGTGAGGGCACGGTGACGTGAATGCAGGCGAATGTTACAGGTCAAAGTTCACTTAAGTCGAGCTTCATGCGAAGCCACGCTGCAATTTGCCTCGCCACATGAAACAAATGTTTAATCTCCCATTGGCTTGCATCGAAAGTGAACAGGAAGTGCACCTGGTCCTGAGGAATGAGTCCAGCCGTCCTGTGGAAGTCATATATAACAGGTGATGCTGACTCATTAAAGTGTTCTTCGCTGTTCTTCATAGTGCTCTTCACTCTCTAATATTTGAATAAACACTGGAGAGGTCAGAGGAAAAGAGACAGATTTGAATCTGCAGAAACTTAAAATCAGATAAGTACACTCAGGCAAATAAAAGAATAACATTCATGCATGTAGCATCCATGTGTCGAAACAGCACAGACATACAGACTGTACCCTGCCGGCGTGGAGAGAAAAATCTGCCTCATTAACTGGAATGGGGATGAGAGGAGAGGTGGGTGAAGGAGAGGGGAGAGAAGAGAAGAGAGAGAAGGTGGTGGTGGGACTTTGGGAGGGAAAAAAGTTAGTGTTAAAATAAATAAATAAATGTGCAGGCAGAGTGACGGGAAGAAGGGGAGATGTGCTCAGTGCATGATGGGAGTTCCCCCAGCAGTCTAGACTTATAGCAGCATAACTAACGATAGGCTTTGTCAAAAAGGAACGTATTAACCTTAAATGCAGAGACGGTGTCTGCCTCCCGAACCAAGACTGGGAGCTGGTTCTACTCTTACACAATCCAGGAACCACAAGAGAGCCTGTGTTTTGGGAAACATACCACACTAACCTTGGAGAGTTGATGAATATGTTCAATGCTGTAAACAGTAAAAGGATAGTTGGCTGTTGAGGCTTTTTAGTCAGTACCCTGCTTAGCCTGATCAAGATATACATTATGTTGCTTTTCTCATGTCTGTGTGTGTGGTAGCTTATAATTCCTGCATGTCAATGGTATCACATGTGTTTGTCTCTTTTTTTAAAGTTTCTGGTTATGTTTACAGTCATGACCCAGAATAATAACTGTGTAAATCCCTTTGTATGTAAGTGTATTTTGTTGTTCTCCCTCCCTGACTCAGGGTAGTGCTGTTTTACCTTCCGTCTGCTCTGTTCCAGCCGGCGGCTTAAGTTAAATCGTGGTTGTGGATTAGACTGGACACTGATGGCGCCAATGCCAGTCCTCTCTCTCTCTCTCTCCTCCCATCCAGAGTTTTTGGTTTGAGTTTTGATATTAACTATTAGAATTATTAAGATGAATTAACTTTTTATTGTCAGTGTGGATTTCCTCAACTTCTTTCCTGAATGTAAGCCGATTCATGACATTAGTTTCTAAAATGATAATGTGGATGAAACATCTCGAGTTAATAATACCTGAAGATACAATGCAAATGCTGCTGGAGTCAAAATCAACAACTGTTGCTGATCTATAACAATCTAATAAAACTGAGTTGGTGACCTTCAGTATGTTAAGACGTTACTGTGTATAACACAACACTGCCATCTATTGGAGAAACAGACTCACATTTCTTCTGTGTAATATACCCAGGGAATATTTCTTTTCATCTTGTAAACACAAGATATTAACTTGTTCACATAAAATTATCACCTTGTTGGAGCAAGTTAAGGCATGTGCAGCAGATGATTTCTGCTGATTACAATCACGTGTCTCATTATATGACATTTCAAGGTGAAAAAAACGTCTCTGTGTAACAGTTGCTGTCTGCATCTGAAGTTATTACAGGTGCATGGGAATTTTTACTGAATCATCTTTTGCGCTCATTTATTTTGTGTAAACTAGTTGTGTGCTAAAGTTATCATCTCATAGTAGTAGGTTTAATCTATGTCATTGCATCTTATCCACTACCAACCTAAATGTTTTGCATTGCTGCATCTCTAACAGTTGACTTTTCATGATCTCAGAAAAAGCCCCAAAGGAGCAGTCACACCTGCTGCTGTCTACCCATGCAGAGAAGTGATCTAAAGAGGATAGTACATTGACAGACATTAGATATAATAGATTGAAAGCCAATGTTTCCTGAAGACTTTCAGGTTGAGATCAATGAAGTGAGAGAACACACTTAAAGTACATTCAGACACAGGCATTAATTATGTTTTGCTCTGTATTTCACTACATTGAATCTAAATCTCAAATGTGTTACTTATTTTCAGAAGTATCAAGTCAACCATGTAATCAATCATTTGACAGACTGCCAATTTGAATGGAGAACATTTTGTAACACAAGTGCCATCCATCCTTCATCTACCGCGCCTGTCCCGGGTCACAGGGCTCAGAGACATATATTATAGTCTCTATTTAACCTAAATCTAATCAGCATGTGTTTTTGTGCTGTGGCATTGAGACTAAAAACCCGTTTGATGTGAGCAACAGTGCTAACCACTGCATCACCATGCTGCCCACTAAGAAATAATCTAAAGTTGAATGTCTGCACTTCAAGTTAATAACATGACTTCATATCCAATGAGCTGAAGGATGGAGCCAAAATAAGCTAAACTTGTGCCAGTGTGTAAATTCCAAATCAAACTTACAACTGGAGGAGCCAAATGTACCAACACTTATTTATAGTTCATGTTGTATGTAGGCACATCAGAATAATAAGTACCTCTGCCAAGGAACTTGTGGTTTCATCCAAATTACACAAAAACTACTGAATCAGATCAAGGATTTTGTTTTTCACTTTATTCAACATGGTGAGATATAGGGTGTTAGCATTAAGTATGTAAACTCAGAGTGCCCAATTAAAAAGAACTGTAGTTAATGTTGCATGCACAAAACATCAGGTGCCAACTTCTGCCTTCCAACTTCTATATAAGTGCATTTAGCTGAGGGCAGTAAACACATTACTATAACACATTCGTTTTCAAAGCCACAGTTTGTAAATAACACATGAAGCTCTGCTGTCTGTCTCCGCTGCAGCTGTCACCTGAGACTGACCTCGCCGCCTGAGAAGAAGATCAACTATCTGGGCCCGGAAACTGTCCTGCTGTGACTCCTGCTTTTCCTGGAGGTGAGTATCTGCTGTCTGTGCCTGGAAACACTCCTGCTGTGACTGATGGCCTGTTTTTGCACTCTGCCATCAGTGTTTACTCCATGTGTCACAGCTGAGTGTAAAATATCTTCAGGGTCAAATCAACGTTAAATTAATATCAGATGATGTGGATTACCATTAAATCTTTCTGAAAACAGCTTGACTCTATCTTTATTATTATTATGATTATTTTTAATTGGGATAGAAACAATACAGTAAAGTTATGTTATATTTTATAAAGATGTCACAAGAAGAAGAGAATTTCATTGAGGTGTTTTTAAGGTGATTCGGAAACCTTCACCTCTCTGTAAAATGATACCTTCATACCTGAAGCTACTGTAGATGTTATTAATCTGCCTGTTTGGGACTCTGCACTCGTTCCAGCGTCAGACAGCCAACCTTTCCCTGTCCCTTCAGCATCCCCATATATAGCCTGTTTACAGTGTGGAAGCTTAAGAAGGTCACAAGAGGGAGGAATGCATTACAGTTTGGATCACTGCCAGGGACTCCACACACACGCACACACACCCAAACACACACGCACACACACCCACACACGCACTTTGCACTAGGTGTTGGTCAAGTTCCACGAAGCGACTCATACACAACTGTGGACCTGTTCAAATATGTCCAACTCACACAGTGATTTGTGTCCACACATGTTATAATAACTGTGATGATAATAGTTGCAGCTTATTATGGGGTGACACACGTCATGCTATTTTTAAAACATACCTTGAAATTTGGGGGAAATGAGGATTAGTTAATTCAGGGTCACAGAATAATGTGGCAGTGCGTCCTTGCTATCACCTTATTAATGATTACTTAGACAAACTAATGAGACTGTGATAAATGTGATTTAATAATCTCATCAGTTTTATTTTCAATGGACTGGACAATTAGTCTCATTTAAGTCTAAGAATAAGAAGCATTTTTCTTATTTTAGTGCAGATTAAGAATGAACATTTTCCTCAAACTTGAGCAAACCGCTTTTGAGTAAGATTTCATCAAACTGGTTTTAACAATTAAGTCCGTAAAGATGAAATAACACATCTACTTCCTACAATAACATCAAAATGTAACCAGAAACCCTCACAATCAAAAGGAAGCCTGTGCAGCAGCTCCCCCCTGTATAATGTTCAGATTTGTCAGATCTGTCTAGGACAGATGATGATTTTATTCTGTTGTTTCCTCTTGTTAGTGGGACAATGTGTCGTACAATCACTCTCTGCTGCCTCACGATAGCAACGCTCCAACAATGTTCTTGACCACAACTCATATGATGTTCATACTCAGATCAACAAGCCGATTGGCATTCAAATGAGCGCAAGTTCATTCATCAACATTTGCACTAGATGGGAAAATGGCATCTACGTTGGTATAGCAAAGACACTGTCGGACTATTGCATGTAGGATACACAATTTCTTATTTCAGCATCTTTGGTCAGGACTCTGAACCCCTGATGGCTCTGTGTGAAAGATGTGGGATAGAAAAGTGCAGTATATAGAAGAGCTGAATGTGTGTGTGAATGGATGAATACAACTCAAGTGATTTCAGTGGTCTTTAAGACTAGAACAGTGTTTTGTGATTATTTGGTTATGATGATTACCAGTTACACTGGCATATATTGGTATTTCTCCCCAATATGAAATATTTTCTAGGGTTGTAAAATAAATAGTTAGTTTTTATTATTTAACATTAAACTGCTGAATCAGTATCTTTCTGTAACAGCTTATAAACAATTACAAACAACAACTTCACTTGATAATAATCATGAAGGTAGATTTAAGTATGGCTGCTGAACACGTGTCAAACCCAGTTTGCATGATGCCCAACAATCAGCCCAGGAACACTGATCTGTGTGAACAGACGTCGCCAGCATAGGGCCACAATCAGTAACAATGATAGACTCAAGACTTTACCTGAACTAGTCTATATGTCACCATGTTGACAGTTACAACTGACCCAACATTCTACCAGTTACCATCATGTCTGCCTTTGACCTACCCTGTGTAAAGCCAGAGCCAGGAAACATTTGATCAGTTATACAAAACCAAATACATACAAAAAAAGCAACAAGGGCCCCTCCCTTTACCAATGCAGTATTATACATCTAATTAATGTTACAGTGTTCAGTATAACACTTAACTCTAATTGCAATGCTTTTTATTTTATTTTTGGGGGGATTAATGTTTTATAGAACAAGAACCAAATTATTATCAGGTACAAAGTGTGATTGGGTGCGATTCCACTTTCATTCCATGTCATTTTTGAAGTCCTGTGTTAAAGTTGGTTTATTCTTGACAAAGCACAGCTGTTAAAAGAAATGTCTTTCTTAGAGCCGTATTCATTTTTCAAATTGTTCAGTAAAATCCGTAAATAAGAGAGTGGAAAAATGCTTTTATTTAAATGACAGAAATCAGTGCACAGAAAAGTGTGCAGAAACATTGTGACTTAATAATAATGTATAAGCCTTGATAGATTTAACAGAACAACACTGTGTGTAGTTTTAAAAAATGAATTAAACATACCGAGCATATAAAAAGCTTTAAAGGTCCAGTGTGTACGATTTAGATGAAAGGGATCTATTGGCAGAAATTTAATGTAGAATAATCCTCATGATGTTTTCACTAGTTCATTTCATCTAAATTGTATGAATTGTAGTGGTGACTGTGAAGAGTACAATAAAATCTTATTGTTTTTCATTTGTGTGTGTTTTGTTCATATCCTTTATGTTTCTTGAATTGCAATGACAGTCTCTTTGCTTACTTATTTATTTAATTTTTATTTTTTTAACTGTCACATGATCCTAGAACAGGCCCTTTATATTTTAATACTTACATTTACATCGAGGGGGTCCTCTCTACGGGGTCCTCATGTTTTTTACATTAGTCCAGACTGAACAAACTAAACCTTTTGAGTTTTTGTGACAACTGAAGCTACCACAGGTTCTTTTTCATGTTTGGAAGTGGAGGGTGAGGTGAGGGGTGTTCAGCTGCAACATGAAACTTCAACACTAGATATCACACAATTCTACACACTGTACCTCTAAATCGAAATAAAAAGTTAAATATACTCAACATTAAAACATTAAAGAAAATCTTCAAATATACATAAACATATATAATGAAATATTTTGAAAATGTGCAACAATGCATGTACACACACTTTTTCCAGTGTATTTTTGGTCCAGCAGTTTTTCCATCACAGCCAGAGAACAGAGTTGTTGTGTAGTACTCGCAGCCACCTGACACAGTGTTGTTATTTCAGTGGTGTGTGTGTGTGTGTAGTAAGTAGCAACACAGCCACAGCGTTTGTGCTTCCACACTCATCAGGTGTTAATGTGATGACAGCACACATGGCGACACGTCATTGAGCTGTTTATCTCTCAGGAGGGGGGGGGGGGGGCTTTATGTAAAACTCTGTGTGACCGGGTCACTTGTTGTTTACCATCTTCCTCCAGTTCGAGCGGACGGGAGTGCTCGAATCCCATTGGCTGTCCGCCGCCCACCTCGCCCCGCCATTGGCTGGCGTCGTTGTTAAATAAGAGTCTCGTGCGGGGCAGCAGCTCGTAAAGCATCATCTCAGTGACTGGGGACGAGCTCGTCTCGCTCCAGACTTCACATCCTGTTTTGTTTTGTTGCCGTTGTTTCGGATCGTCCTGGTTTTTGAGGATGACCAGCAGGATGAAGCTGGTGCGCTCTCTGGTGAAGGCTGCAGCTCTGGCCAGCGTGCCCAAACACATAGACCACTTCTCCAAGTTCTCCCCATCTCCTCTGTCGATGAAGCAGTTCTTGGACTTCGGTGAGTGTGGCCCATCTATCATCAACCTATCTGTATTTGATTCATGCTGGAGTTGAAATTGTGATATAGTGCATTTAATATAAAATCGATTTATTAAGGATTGAAGCCTAAGAGAGCTATTCGGAGTCAATGTGACAACTCAAAACAAAATGATGATATGATTGAAGAAAGACTTTTTTATTTGTTAAGAAACTCTGAACCATCTCAGTGGTGCAGTAAGTGGTGGCCACAGATGTAAACATGTTATCAGCAGGAAGAACAGCGCGGTTATATGTTTCCTAACTTGTCTCACTGGCTTGATTTCTTCATCATCATCATCATCACTGAAGCTGAACAATATACAATTGCTCGGGTTACTGCAGTTAACAGTGATGAATATTGATGATGCAAGTGAAGATGACATTTGTGAGGCGAACATGCTTTTTATTTTTGACAGTTTTGCCACCTATACACCCATACTCTGCAAAATATTAATAGTTACATAACTGGCTACATTAAAAAAAACTTTGGGATGAACCTACAGCTCATCTTCATGGAGCTTCATATGAATACACAGTTTCATTCTCACCCCTCTCCCAAGATGAATGTGAATGGAATCGTTAGGTAAACCTGTAATATTTTTTGCACTTGTTGGTAACCCTGCTCCGTTCTGCCCTTTAGGTTCAACCAATGCCTGTGAGCGCACGTCGTTTGTTTTCCTTCGCCAGGAGCTTCCTGTCCGTTTGTCCAACATCATGAAGGAGATCAACCTGCTGCCGGACCGGCTGCTGGCCACACCCTCCGTCCAGCTGGTCCAGACCTGGTGAGAAATGGCAGCAAACTACTGAGTGCTTGTTTGAAGAACACTTGATTGAATAACAGCGGTTTTACTGACTTGTTGACAGACCTGATGTGTCACTGCTGTCCTGAAAAGAACTCCTGGTTCACTTGTCTCAAAATACTGTAACTTGATGTTTCCTTTTGTTTTTCCAAAATGAGCAGAGTACAAAACATTTACACACATTTGAATTATTGGTTTTAATACAATTTGCAATTTTACACTTTGCACCCTTTGATATTGTCATGTTTTCACTCCTGTTGGACACTTCACACCTTTCACACTTTCATTTTGAAGTTTTGCAGGGTTTTTAATCCAGCTGCAATGAATAGCAGGCCAACAGTATAAGCCCCGACAAAATCCAATATTACATTACAAAGCAAGGCAGGAGAGAGGGAGCGTGCCTGAACTTTGTCCCAGTTACTCCTCCAGCCCCTCCTTTCTTCATACGTTTTCCTCGTCCTGCCTGCTTGTTGTTGCAGCTGAGGGGAACATGATGTTCAGAACAGTGGTCTCTCTGCTGAGCGTCACAGTGATAGTGAAGTGAAACTTCCGTGTCATCCACGAGAAGGTGTGAAAACTTTTAAAAATAACCTTCAAGATTTTAAGAAGAAAGTCAAGAGAATTTTGAAAAACTGAGGTTTGGCTGGAACCCCAAAAAACGTTCTGCTTTTACTTATTGTTGGTGTTCAAAGTCTGATTGACTTTTGCTCTTTGACCTCAATGTTTGCAGACAGGTTTGAGAAGTTGCTCATGAGCTGTCACTTTCTTCAAAACAAGCAAGAACAAACAAGTGCAGTGCAGTGGACTGGTTTAGACAGGTTTAACCACAGCATGTGTGTTTTTCAAAATCCTGACATCATGCTGTGGTGTCTCTGGAACTTTCTAGGAACTGCTCACTGGAAGTGGTTTCTCAACACACAGATTACAGATGTTTTGGAATATGAGAACTCGGCAGAGAGAAGCTGATAAGTTGAAAAGTTTGTGAGATATGTGTTCCATAAACACATAGAGACAGACAGACAGACAGACACATGTTTATGGAATTATTATTTGGCATTGTTAATGCATTGATATCTTGAGACTGTTTAAAGTGATCGATCAACAAAAACCGTTTGCTCTGGCTTCCTGGAGAATCCGCCATTGTAATAGCCACGAAACCAAAACAAACGTAAACTAGTTCTTTGTGCGTTCAGAAGTTGTTGATGAGAAATCCCGTGATCCACAGAGCAGATTGTGTATGCGTGCCCTAAGAGGAAAAGCATGCTACTTGCTGTCCACTCGTCTCTAATAACAAACAGCAGGCAGGACTTAGGGCATGTCAGGGGAATGGCTGCTTGTTAACTACTGGGCGTAGCATATTGCATGTCAGGACTGGTGATGGATGGCAGTGTTTACATTCTTCTCTCCACTCGCCTCTGTTTTTCTGCCTTGCTCTCCCACTAGACTGTGCTATCCCCTATAGCTAGAATTGGCCATGGTACTCAAAGACTGTCCTCTGTTCTATCAGGTACGTCGACAGCCTCATGGAGATCCTCGAGTTTCTGGACAAGAACCCTGACGACCATAGAGTCCTTGAGACGTGAGTTCAACAAAAGGCAGGACAGAGCGGGACATGATAGCACTGCTTTCACTTTCCTCTTCTCTAACCTGACCCCTGCCTTCTTCCTCTCCTCCTGTCACGTTCCCTCCCTACATCTCTCTCCTCTGTCTCCTCCACCCTCAGGTTTGTGGAGGTCTTGGAGGCCATCAGGAACCGGCATAATGATGTGGTCCCCACCATGGCTCAGGGAGTCATCGAGTACAAAGACACTTTTGGCCAGCACGATCCTGTCACCGACCACAACATCCAGTACTTCCTGGATCGCTTCTACACCAGCCGCATCTCCATCCGCATGCTCATCAACCAGCACAGTGAGCCCCCACCCACTCACAAAAAACGAAACAATGATTGCATGGTTATAATATAATATATAAATATACATCTTTTCAACTGCTGCAGCTAGTGGCATTGCACTAAGAGGAACTCATTTCCTCTTTCTCTGCTCTCTTGCAGCTCTAGTCTTCAACGGGAACACAAACCCCGCCCACCCCAACACCATAGGCTGCATCGACTCCATTTGTGATGTGACAGAGGTTGTGCGAGGTATGGAAAAAGACGAGAAGTACTTGTAATAAAATAGAATGCACGTTATTTAGAAGATCAGAAGTTAAAATTATGTTCTCTAATCGAGTAAAAGTAAGTGAGTACTTGCTTTTAAATATGCGTAATTTATTAAAAGTACTTGTGGAGGGGAGCATATATCCTAAAGCAACAGTCTACCACATCATATTGGTTGAGTCTCGGCCTTTTCAGAATCCATTTTAGATATTTCTTCACCAGTGATACTGCTACAGGATGTTACCTGCCTGCTCAGATTGGATCAGAGGACCAATCCCTTCTCGTTATTGTTTTAATAACATAAAAAACAATGTGAACATTTAACAGCACATTGTAAAACTATAGTGGGGTAAAAACTACAGATATTTGCTGATATAGATAGAGGGAAAAAAGTAAATATTACCCCAAAATAAATCTATTCAAGTTACATGACATATGTGTAGTAACAAAGTAAATTTTATATATTTTGTTTAATCCCATCACTGGCCACGTCTTAAACATGCACTTCAGAGGTACATACAAACAAAATGCACAGAGGCTGGAAGGAGTGGGGGACATGAAGCAGACCCAACACCTCTTTTTCCCCCCAGGGAGCTGCAGTGTGTTTATCCAGCCCTGATATGAGGTCACTCAGTAGATACAACAAAAGTACAGTGTTGACAGGTTTTGTCCAATATATTGACGAGGAGGTGCATTTTAAAACTAGTTCCAACCGTTACAGTCCTACTCTATTCAAGCAAGAAAGGACTTTGTGTTCTGACGGCCATTATAAACATCCCACAGTGATTTACTTTCATCGTCAAGTGTCTGGGTCACTTTCTGTGTTTCATAGAGGAACAAAGCTCCCAACCTCATGAAATGAGGTCTGGCAGGTTGCCAGTGCAGGTTTCAGAGTCAGAGCTGCTGATTGAGATCCATGTTTATACTTATGATAACCTTGCATTTATCACATTTATCTTTATGTCCATTTTATGACAAGGGCAAAGAATACCGTTGTTTTTCCTCTCCCTCTCTCTAGATGCCTATGAGAGTGCAAAGTTGCTGTGTGAGCAGTATTACCTGGGAGCACCAGAGCTGGAGCTGAGGCAGATGAATGGTGAGATAAACACACACACACACACACACACACACACACACACACACACACACACACCAGCTGATGTGTGCACCTACAGAGCATTGACAGATTTTTCCCTCTCTCCCTCAGCCAACAGCCTCAGAGAAGCAATCCAGATTTCATACATCCCATCTCACCTGTACCACATGGTGTTTGAACTCTTCAAGGTAATAAATGATATTCCATCTGCACAGAAAAACACCACACTAGTGCAAAAACTAACACACACACACACACACACACACATATATATATATTTATGCTGATTTTAATTAATTAATAATCTAAGATCAAATTAGTCTGAACTAAACTGAACTTTGCTGCTTTGTTCCATAAACATCTGTATGCAGTGGTTACTGGTTCATTTGGGAATGATGTTTGAAATGTCTGCTTTGTAGAGTCTACTGTTACAATGTAAACACACTGTTGCACAAGAAGCGACCAACAATGTCAGTGATAAGGCACACTCAGAAACTTGTGCCTGTATCCATGTACCACCCCAGCTGTCACATCAGTACAGTTTTTATAGTGCATCACACTTCATGTAGCATCTGGCTTTTCAATGTCATGTCAATATTATCTTCTGGCTACCAAGCAGTTTGTAACCCTCTCTGTGTCCTCTCTGTAGAATGCAATGAGAGCAACCATTGAGAACCATGAGGCCAGCAGGACCCTCCCACCTATCAAAGTTATGGTCGCCCTTGGTGGAGAGGACCTGTCCATCAAGGTGAGTAAATCATCTGAAAAATGCAGAATCTTCCAGTTATTTACATACATTTATTTAGATAAAAAAG